CATAGACCAATGAAATAGAATTGAGATTCCAGAAGCAAAACCTCAATTTCTCAACCAACTCATCTTCGACAAAGCCTCCACCATCTTTTTTTTTAACTTTATTTTATGGTAGAGATGCGGGGTACAAGTTGGGATTAGGTACATAAGTAACCTATGTGCAGGTGAAGTTGGGGCCTCCAACTGGTCCTCACTTCCTCTGGTTTAGGACCAGGTACCCTTTGTGTTGTTACATGCCCCTCTCTACCTCCCTCCCGCCCCTGGTAGTGTCCCTCGACTGCTGACCCTGCCCTTGTGCTATTGTGATTAATTTTCAAGTCCCATTTCTGACTCCAAATCTATTGTCCATATGTGTCCTCAGTCACCTTACACTGGGAAAGGAAATACATCTTTGCCTTTGCCAGAGGAGAAAGATCCTGTAAGGACACACAGATCTGAAGATTTTCATAGGGTTCATTGCCTCCCATGGATGAGATGACAGACACTGATAGGTGGGCTAGTTATTGCCTATAGGGTAGATTTTATTCCTTGGCACTTATAGTGGTTTTCCTACCACAAAGCCTGTTACCTCCCCCCAGTGTCACATGTCTCAGGGGAAAGACTGTGCCCTAAATGCCCTACAAGGAAGACCAAGAGCCCATTTGGAAGGAACCATGGAAGCCATGGGAGCTGTACGGGAGGCAGCCACTTAACCAGAAGGTAGTGGCTTCATCTGGCACTTTAACTGTCACTCTTACCCATCATCCCCTCCCCCTTTCCCCGTTCCAGGGCTCCATGCCCTTCTGACAACACTGTAATAAGGCAAGGCTCACACGTTGAGAGTGTCTGACTCTAAAACCCACGTTCTTCTTATATACCCTGGGACAGATACCATAAATAGGGGAAATGTTCCTGAAAGAGAAAACCTCAAGGCAGATTTCTGCCATGGAAACAGAACAAAGACCCTGAATCTGGGCAAAGACATGCTGATCTGGAAATGTTCTCCTTCAAGATTCACCCCATACTGCATGCGTTTGGAGTTCCTGGTTGAGCTCCCTTCATCAGCTGTCTCTGTCATATCTGTAACACCCATGAGGGCTGGTGGCTGTCAGTGACTGATTTATTGAGGAGTCCAGGGAGAGGAAAGGCTGAGCCCATGATTCTGTGCAAAGTGCAGGAGATGCTTCTGGAAGCCGTGGACCGCAGGACCGGAGCTGCCTACCTGGGAAGTGGTAGCCACATAGACGGGTTGAAACTGGAGATAGACTATCCTCACTCTGTCATCTCTCTGACTCTCTGCCCCAGGGCTCTCTGTGCTACTCCTGTTGCCATTAGAAGCTGCAGCCCAGAACTCTGGAGGTGAGTCCAGTCAGTCATCCCTGATAGTGATGTAAGCTGGGAGTGAGTGCATGTCTGGGTTTCCTCACCAAGGGGGTGGAAAAGAAAGAGGCTTCTTCTGTGAAGGAGGTTCAGAGATGGTCTGTTTCTTCTCTCCAAATGCCCAGTTTCCTGAGCTCTTCCTCTTCCAATGGCAGGTGTCTCTTCTTCTCCCCACCCT